AGGATAAAAAAACAATCTCCGTGTGTCCGTGTGTCCGTGTGTCCGTGTGTCCGTGAGTCCGTGTGTCTGTGTGTCTGTGTGTCAGTGTGTCCGTGTGTCCGTGTGTCCGTGTGTCCGTGTGTCCGTGTGTCCGTGTGTCCGTGTGTCCGTGTGTCCGTGTGTCCGTGTGTCCGTGTGCCCATGTGTCCGTGTGTCCGTGTGTCCGTGTGTCCGTGTGTCCGTGTGTGTGTCTGTGTGTCCGTGTGTCCGTGTGTCCGTGTGTCCGTGTGTTCCGTGTGTCCCCGTGTGTCTCGTGTGTCCGTGTGTCCGTTGTCCGTTGTGTCCGTGTGTCCGTGTGTCCGTGTGTCCGTGTGTCCGTGTGTCCGTGTGTCCGTGTGTGTGTCCGTGTGTCCCGTGTTCCGTGTGTCCGTGTGTCCGTGTGTCCGTGTGTCCGTTGTCCGTGTGTCCGTGTGTCCGTGTCCCGTGTGTCCGTGTGTCCGCGTGTCCGTGTGTCCGTGTGTCCGTGTGTCTGTGTGTTTGTGTGTCTGTGTGTCTGTGTCTGTGTGTCTGTGTGTCTGTGTGTCTGTGCGTCTGTGTGTCTGTGTGTCTGTGTGTCTGTGTGTCTGTGTGTCTGTGTGTCTGTGTGTCTGTGTGTCCGTGTGTCTGTGTGTATTTGTGTGTGTCTGTCTGTCTGTGTGTCGGTGTGTCTGTGTGTCTGTGTGTCTGTGTCTGTGTGTCTGTATGTCCGTGTGTCTTTTGTGCCCGTGTGTCCGTGTGCCTGTGTTGTATGTTGTCTCTGTGTGTCTCTGTGTGTCTCTGTGTGTCTCTGTGTGTCTCTGTGTGTCTCTGTGTGTCTCTGTGTGTCTCTGTGTGTCTCTGTGTGTCTCTGTGTGTCTCTGTGTGCCTCTGTGTGCCTCTGTGTGCCTCTGTGTGCCTCTGTGTGCCTCTGTGTGCCTCTGTGTGCCTCTGTGTGTGCCTGTGTGCCTGTGTGCCTGTGTGCCTGTGTGCCTGTGTGCCTGCGTGTGCGCGTGTGCGCGTGTGCGCGTGTGCGCGTGTGCGCGTGTGCGCGTGTGCGCGTGTGCGCGTGTGCGCGTGTGCGCGTGTGCGCGTGTGCGCGTGTGCGTGTGTGCGCGTGTGCGCGTGCGCGCGTGTGCGCGTGCGCGTGCTCGTGCTCGTGCGCGTGCGCGTGCGCGTGTGCGTGCGCGTGCGCGTGCGCGTGCGCGTGCGCGTGCGCGTGCTCGTGCGCGTGCGTGTGCGCGTGCGCGTGCGCGTGCGCGTGCGCGTGCGCGTGCGTGTGCGTGCGCGTGTGCGTGTGCGTGTGCATGCGCGTGCGCGTGCGCGTGCGCGTGCGCGTGCGCGTGCGCGTGCGCGTGCGCGTGCGCGTGCGCGTGCGCGTGCGTGTGCGCGTGCGCGTGTGCGTCTGCGTGTGCGTGCGTGTGCGTGTTCGTGTGCGTGTGCGTGTGCGTGTGCGTGTGCGTGTGCGTGTGCGTGTGCGTGTGCGTGTGCGTGTGCGTGTGCGTGTGCGTGTGCGTGTGTTTGTGCGTGTGCGTGTGCGTGTGCGTGTGCGTGTGCGTGTGCGTGTGCGTGTGCGTGTGCGTGTGCGTGTGCGTGTGCGTGTGCGTGTGCGTGTGCGTCTGTGTGTTTGTGTGTTTGTGTGTTTGTGTGTTTGTGTGGTTGTGTGTGTTGTGTGTTTGTGTGTTGTGTGTTTGTGTGTTTGTGTGTTTGTGTGTGTGTTTGTGTGTTTGTGTGTTTGTGTGTTTGTGTGGTTGTGTGTTTGTGTGGTTGTGTGTTTGTGTGTTTGTGTGTGTGTTTGTGTGTTTGTGTGTCTGTGTGTTTGTATGTTCGTGTGTTTGTGTGTGTTTGTGTGTTTGTGTGTTTGTGTGTTTGTGTGTTTGTGTGTTTGTGTGTGTTTGTGTTTTTGTGTGTTTGTGTGTTTGTGTGTTTGTGTGTTTGTGTGTTTGTGTGTTTGTGTGTGTGTTTGTGTGTTTGTGTGTTTGTGTGTTTGTGTGTTTGTGTGTTTGTGTGTGTCTGTGTGTGTGCGTGTGTAAGCGTGTGCTGTGGTGTGACGTGGTGTGGCGTCTTGGTGGTTTGGTGGTGGGCCAGGTGCGTGCGTGCGTGATGGCGGTGGTGGTGGTGGCGGTGGTGGTGGTGGTGTGTGTGCGTGTGTGTGTGCGTGTGTATGTGTGTGTGCGTGCGTGTGTGTCTGTGTGCGCGCGCGTGTGATGTGGTGTGACGCGGTGTAGCGTGGTGGTGGTGGGTGGGGTAGTGGGGTGGTGGTGGTGGTGCGCGTGCGTGCGTGCGTGCGTGCGTGGATGGGTGGAAGTGGCGGTGGGCGGGGCGGGGCGCGGTGCGGTGGTGGCGGGCGGATGGACGCGCGAGAAAGAGGCCCGCGCTGGGGCGAGAACGCCATCCTGAACGACGGAAGCAAAACACCGATCCGAAAATGAGGCCCACGCTGCAGCGGGAGCACGATTCGGAACGAGCGGGGCCCGAAAATGAGGCTGGCGCCTTAGCGAGAGCAGCATTTTGGAAAAAAGTGCTGGCGAAAACCCAACTCCCGGGAATCCTGTGCGTAAAAAAGCAGGACGCGGGGGGGGGGGGGGGGGGGGCGAACACTCCAGCACGTCATCAGGGGAAGAGGGAGAGTAGTATTCATATTGGTTACTCCAGATTCGTAATAAAGGGAGGGGTCTCATTTCGGGGGGGGTCTCTTCCAGGCTATCTTAGAGGGCCTGGGGGGGTCTGGGGACGATGTTTTGGAGGGTTCTCCCACCGGGGGGGGGGGCTGAAATGGCTCGTCTTGGAGGGTCTCAGACCCCCTCCCTTGTATTACGAAATTTAGAGTAGTATTCAGATTGAGCAATTGTGGAGGAGGGCAGAAGGCCTGTCCACCTCCGACTGGAGGAAGCGCGGGGCGCCCCGCAGGTCTCCGGGGCCGTGCTCCTGCGGCCCCCTGTGGTGCCCCCCGCGGGCCCCCCCCGGGGGGCCCGCCAGAGAAGGCGGCCGTCGGGCCCCCAGGGCAGAGCACAGCGTGGGGGCCCATGGCAGGGGAGCGCCCGGGGATTCCTCCTCCTCCTACTCCGCCCTCCTCATCCTCCTCCTAAACTCCTACTACTCCCCTCCTCCTCCTCCTCATATCCCCTCCTCCTTCTCCTCCTCCTCCCCTCTCCCCCCTCCCCTCCTACTCCTCCTCTCTCCTCCTCCTCCTCCTCCTCCTCCTCCTCCTCCTCCTCCTCCTCCTCCTCCTCCTCCTCCTCCTCGAGTGAAACAATGCTTTCCGTCTTGGTTTTTTGTTCGTCATCCCCAGTTCTGTCTTCGTTCCACAGGTGCCGCAGAGCGAAGTCAGCACGGGAACGGTCCACGAGATTGCCAAAACACCGTTTCGCTCGAGCCCTGGAAGCACCCTGCTTTGCCTCCAGGGTGCCCTGGGCTTCCTGGGTCTCGATGATCTTGCTATGGGAGGGCGCGGAGCTGCCACCCCAAAAAAGGAATGGACGTCCTGGGGTCTCGGGGTCGGGCATCTTGTGGAGGGTTTCTTCTGGGAGGAGGAGGAGGAGGAGGAGGAGGAGGAGGAGGAGGAGGAGGGAGGAGGAGGACTGGCCTCCACTGCATCATCCTTCAGGAACATGAGACCCTCCGCCAGTCCAGACGTTCGAGGGTGCCCACCTCCAGGCTGCAGAAGCACACCCAACAGACACGAAGAGCCTCAGGGTACCCTCGCAGTACCGTCCTGGTCCGACCGTGACTCGGGACGAAGCGCTGGCATCGGGAAGATTGGAGCCGTTTCCCGCAGGACCCCTATCCTTGATAGCGAAGGCGTCACCTCAACTGCACGACATCCGACATCTCACACCCCTTTTACACCCTCGGTAAGCAAAACAATGACAGAGGAACACCCCAGCAGTCGTAGGCTCCGCCAACGTGCCGCATGCTCTGAGTGGAGTGTCCTCAGGTCCCGCAGAAAATTCAACATCGAGTGGGTAGTGTGGATCCTCTCTCGCGAGGCCCCAGATCCCAACTTGCTGGAATTCCCAGATGCATCCTGGCGCTCTCGTGAGCTCATGGACATCCCCGCGTAACTACAGGAGGGGCCCGACCACAACAAACCTTCCACGAGAAACCCAACCCTGAGGCCCCAGGACGTCCGTCGATGTTTGGTGCGGGAGCGTCACGCTTCCCATAGCAAGACAATCGAAACCCAAGAGACCCAGAACACACTGGAGGCAAACAGGGTGCTTCTTAGCATGGGCCTCCACTGTACCCATCGGTCGGAAGAAGCAGGTAGAAACATGAAGTAGGAAGGCGTTGAAAAAAGATTGGGTGTCCACCGGCCCCCCAAGGAGGACGGAAAAGGTGAAGCCACTCGATCATGAAGTAGGAAGGCGCTCAAAGTATATTGGAATCTGGGACTCCAGAAATAAACTACTTTCAACGACCGACGGGCAACATCAGACCATGCGCGTGCGCCGCCGTCCTCACTGGCGTCCGTGCCCCTTCTCGTGTTCCTCGTCCGGCGCATCCCCGTCGCGAACGTCCGCTTCATCCTCCTCCCCCACCTCCTCCCCCCTCCTCTACGTCCAAGGACCGATGGGTACCTACTCTTATGTCGGGCCTGTCCCCCTGCAGGGGGATTTTCGACGAAAAATAAAAAAAACTCTAAAAATACACCGAAAAGGTCAAAAAGTATTCAAAAACAGTCCCCGAACTATTCTGTGATTATTTTTTGACTATTTGGGGGGTGTTTTTCATTTTTCGTCGAAAATCCCCCTGTAGGGGGACACGCCCGACATAAATCTTCTCTAGATCGCTTCATAATCGCCCCCCCCTGGGAGTGCCAGGGGGGGGGGGGGCCGCAGCGCGTCCGCACGGGTGTCACGGGGGAGTCTGGGGTTCGCTCCCATCCCCGCTGGGGCGCAGGGGTGGTGCCGGGGGGGGGGGGGGGTTGGCCGCGCCGCGTCTTCACGTCTGTCACCTCCCAGTGGATTGAGAAGTTCGGAGTGCTCTTCTTGTCAGGGCTGAAACTGAATGGTTGGTTTCGTGTGCGTTCTGTTCTCCTTCTCCCTCGCTCTGTCTTCAGCCCACCCCTACCGCCAAGCGAAGCCGAAGCGAGAACGGCCCACGAGATCGCCAAAACACCGCTCCTCGGGGGCGGCCAAGAGGCGGGCGTCCAAGAGGTGGGGGGGTGCAGATCATGGCCGGCGGCATGTGCGCGGCCCGATGGGGGGGGCCAGGCGCGCGATGACGCAAGAAGAGGCGCCATGAAACCTGGGGAAATATCATGACCCACGCCATGATACAGTCGAGGCGTTGACCTAAGGAACCCCAAATAAGGAACGAGGCCCCTTTTTCATAAGTCAACCACCTTCGACTTCCCATCGAAAGCGTAAGGAAAACCAAAGGCAAGCTGCGAAACAATCCAGGAACACCGAGCCCCTCCCCAGCGAAAAGGGTTCCTTCTTCAGGGCCCCGACTGTAGTCATCACCCCCTCTTTGCCGCCCCCGAGTTCAGGCCCAGCCCTGCTGTCCGCTGCCTGGGCGGCGCCCTCACGCCGCCCAGGCCGCCAGGGCCGCGCGGCGGCCGTGCGCCCTGCCCGGCGGAGCGGCTTCTTAAAGGCGGCGGCCGCCACGCCGGGGTCGCGCCGCGGCTCGCCGCGGTGGGAACGAGCAGTGTCACACGTCGGGTACGTCTGGGGGGTCAGGTCCCGAGACCCCCTCAAGTCGTGAGAAAAACATGACGGGAGGAATGGGTACCGAAAGAATGGGTACAATGCCCAACAACAACTGTTGTCCCAAACCAACAGCGGCCGCTGTTGGGCAGGCGGCCTTCTGTCTCGAATGGACACAGGCCGCGGCGGCGCGGACAGCGAGTCCTGTTCAGAATGAACAGGAACTGCTGTTGGACATTGTACCCATTCTTTCCGTACCCATGTCGGGCGTCCAGAGCTGGGGGAACGAGCAGTGACACACGTCGAGTACGTCTGGGGGGTCAGGTCCCCAGACCCCCTCGAGTCGTGAGACAAAAATCATGACGGGGGGTGTTGCCCAATGTTCGGCCTCTGGGGGCCCTCACCCGCCCTCGGGACCGTCAAGAAACGACTCGGGACGAACAACCGGTCCCGGGGAATGGGCCCAGACCGCTGGGGATCGACGTCATGAAAAAAGCCATGACGTCCTGGGGTCTGGGTCTGCAGAACACCCCAACCGGACGTCAAGGGGCGCAACCAACTTGTTCGGGCAAGCTGCAGTTGATGCACCACAACCGGCGTCAAGCCAAAACTCTGGACACGAGCGACTGGTTGGATGCTGCACATCCTCATCAGCTTACGTGGCGAAGCGTTGGACCACCTTGACGTACCTTTCTTGGAGGTCCTGCAGAGGAGGGCGCCCTCTGCCCCTTCGGCCCTCCTCAAGACATACGTAAGGTTCGTGGGCCTCTGACACCGCGGGGATCGTTCACCCTTGAACGCTCGGCCGTTCCCGAAACGTCCAAGTCGTTCCACATCGAACGATTCTGGGTCGCCCGCGGCGCTCAACGCTGAATACGCCGCCGGCGGGGTCGCCGCCGGCCGACGCGACACGAACAAACCGTGAGTATAAAAAAATGGGTGGCCCGAGGTAGAGCTGAAAGGGCGTGGAGCAATAGAGCTGGGGCAATTGTATTGCACATGCATTGCGCCGGAAAACTGTACTGCCTTGTACTGCAAGTAATGTGTTGCACGCGAAAATCCAGCAATGCATCTGCGCCCCGGAATGCACTGCACGCCCCAAGGGTATTGCAACCCCACAAATCTACTGCACAAAAATATTGGACCGCCCCCTGGTCGCTGGACCACCTTTGGGTCAACCCGAAAAAACTCGGAGGCCTGCGCGGATGTCTCGGATCGGCGCTGCGGGCCCCCTGGCGGCGCCTCCGGCGCCGCCCCTGGCGCGCTCCGCGCGCCAGGGAGGGGGGGGGGGTCCCAGCGACGATCCGAGAAATCCACGCGGACCTCCGAGTTTTTATCTTTGTGCCACTCTTCGTTCCCCTACAGTGGAGGCTAGTCCACAAGAAACCCAACCCTGAGACCCGAGGACGTTCCTTCGTTTTTGGTGCGGGACCATCACGCTTCCTTGGATGCTCGTTCTGGGGACCTTCCTGGAGCCACTCGCTCCACTCGTGCGTCGAAGCTGCGTCGAACGTCAGTCGATTTGGGTCGACCCTGAGTCGAACCTGAGTCGAACCTGAGTCGAACCTGAGTCGAACCTGAGTCGAACTCGAGTCGAACTGGAGTCGAACTGGGGTCGAACAGATCCGTGAGGTGGGCTCCAGGAAAGCCCCCGAAACGAGCAGCGAAGCTTCCCATCGCAAAGACACCGAAACCCAAGAGACCCGGAGGAGGAGAAGGAGGAGGAGGAGGAGGAGGCGGAGGAGGGGGAGGAGGAGGAGGAGGAGGAGGAGGAGGAGGAGGAGGAGGAGGAAGAGGAGGAGGAGGAGGAGGAGGAGGAGGAGGAGGAGGAGAGGCACCCTGGAGGCGAGCAGGGTGCTCCTTGGCAGGGGCCCCCACCGTAGGAGGCTGCAGCGCCCCCTGAGCCGCGCCGTGGCCCTCTGCGCGCGGCGCGCACCCGGGCCGCACCGTGGAGGCGTTGACCGATAGGAACCCTAAATAAGGAACGAGGCCCCTTTTTGAAGGGGAACTGGAACACACAAATAAATACACACAAATAAAAATATCCCCCATATTTTCCCATATTTTCTGGGTTTCTGTCTTCCCCCCCACTTCCCATAGTTTCCCATATTTTCTGGGAATCGCCGATTAATTGTGTCTGTGTGTTTTTTCCCCTCCTGACTTTTTCCCATAAGTTCAACCTCGATTTCCGATCGGAAAACAAAGAAAATCCAGGGCGAGCTGCGAGACAAGGAAGGAACACGGAGCCCCTCCCCAACGAAAAGGGTTCCTTCTTCAGCGCCCCGACTGTAGCTAATTGGCCGCGCCTTGCCGGGGGCGGGCGCCGACTGCGAGAGGAGGCGCGGCGGCGCGGGGAGCTTCGCCCCCACGAGCGTGGTCGCTCGGCCTGCCCTGGCCACCAAGGCACAGGACCTCCGAGGGAAAAACGGCATCCATCATATGGACGTCGTCCTGCGTATGGGGCCCAAACGGCCCCAAAAAAGCCAACCGAAGTGGCCAGCGAGGACCATACGGTTCCGAAACACACCTCCACCCCGTAAATCTAACGGACCGTTCGAGACATCCTCACAATCTGGGCGCGAACGGGCCCGTGACACACCCTTCATCGGCAGAGCACCAGCCCGCATCACCAGGCACGACCGAGCCTCCTCCAGCCCTGGCGACGAGAAACGTCCCGAGAGCATTGACAACAAGAGCATTTGTTTGACAGCAATACGAGCATTATCGTTCCTCCCCCTCGTCCTCAATCATCCTGCTACTCTATACCTCCCCCTCCTCCTGTGCTTCGCACTTCTCAACGGTAGCTCGGAACTGCGGGGACGTCTCATGCGAAACTGGCTGGACCCCCTCGCACGCGGCATCTCTTTGCCCATAATTGCGGGGACGTCCCAAGCGAAACAGACAGGCTCACTTCGTGGGCGGCACCTTGAAGCCTAGCAACGATATCTCAAGCGAAAAGGCTGAAGCAACCTCAGGTTGCGGTGTTCCCAAGCCCAGAAGTTTTGAGGATGCTTCAGGCGACGTGGGCCAGACCACTTCTCGCGTAGCGCCTGGGAGCCCAGGTTTGCGAGGATGCCTCGAGCGAAACGGGCCAAACCGTGTCAAATCTGGTTCACGGCACGCTGACTTGTGAGGATGCCTCCTGCGGAACGGACCGATACACCGCAGCACGCTGCCAACGTCTCGGCGCGCGGGCCCGTCGGGCAACCTCCGTTCTTACCGCCACAGTGCCCCCTCGGCACCGGCCGGGCGACCCGGGAACACTCCAAGACAAAATCTGTTGCACGGAAAGGAACGAGAAGTTCCCAGATGTGAACATTTTCTTATTCGGCGTTTCAGCATTGGGCGGAAGGGAGGAGAGGGGAGGGTCTGGCTCCAGACCTCTGCTTGATGTGACTGTTTGCAGAAGTGCGTCCTATGAGGGAGACTCCACCTGTGTGAAACAGGCGCCCAAAAACAGCCAAGATCTACTCCAGGGGGGTGGCAGGGGGGGTGCGAGGGCCCGCGCCGATCGGCAAAACAATGAATTCACAGGCCCAACAAGCCAGAGGCGTGCTAAGATCTCCGGCAACTGCTTATAGTTACGTCGCGCACGCGGAGCGGCCCCTGGGGGTCCCCGGACGAAAAATACCCGGGCGGTCCCCGACCGGGTCGGGTCAGGTCTCTCTTCGCCTGGGCGCTGCCCTCGAGGCCCTGCAGAAAACCTCAAGAAGGGCCAAGAGGCCCCCAAGAGGCTTCCCAGATAGAAGAGATGCCACAAGATCGCTCCAAGATGCCCATGATTGTCCCTGGACACCCGAAGAGGCCTCCTAAAAACACTCCCATGAGGGCTCGAAGAGGTAAAAGTCACTGATTTCCCCAAGGTTTGGGACAGATTGGGGCGTTTCCCCGTTATCGGTTCCCGACGCCTCCAGGATCGCACCAAAAGAATCCAAAAGGGCTTCAAGAGAGCCCCAAAACGGCCATGACCGTCCAGGACGACTCCAAAACGGCCCAAGAAGGCCCCAAAAACGCCCCAAGAGAGGCCCCAGAGGGGGTACACGACACAATATTTCGAGCCCTCGGCCATAAGGAGCCCCCAGGAGGTCCTCAGAAGAGCTAAGAGGCCCCAAAAGGCCCCCAACAGGCGGTCAGGAGGCCGCAAAGAGGCCCCCAAGAGCCCCCCAAACCGCAGGCAACAAACCCCACCAAAAACAGAAGCCCCATAGGGCGGCAAACACCCAGAAACCGCGTAAGAAGCCAACGAACCTCCGACATCTTCTTCACAATGTCCAAACAACGGCAACGCGGCTGCTCCACGGGAGCTGCTCCAACCCCAGACATGCCGAAAGCAATATTTCACAAACACACACGCCGTCCCTGCAGCACATTTGGACCCCCGAAATGGGTACGGCAAAATGGGTACAATGCCCAACAACAAATGCTGTCCCGAACCATCAGCGGCTGCTGTTGGGCAGGCGACCTTCTGTCTCAAATGGACACAGGCCGCGGCGGCGCGGACAGCGAGTCCTGTTCAGAATGAACAGGAACTGCTGTTGGGCATTGCACCCATTCTTTCCGTGCCCATTCGTTCGTGCAGAGCACAGCGGTGCGCAAAAGCGGGCCGGCGGAACGAGCGAAGCGCTTGAATAAGAAGCGATCGCTGTTCGGTCTGCTGCTGCCAAGCGCCCACCGTGTTTCCGAGGCCTCCCCTGCCTGGCCCTCCCTGGAGACTGCCAAAAAGTACCAGCTGCGGGCGGGAGCCCACGGCGAGGGCGTCGCAGTGGTGCCGACCGACGACCCCAACGCTGCCCCGTTCCGGCTCCCAGGCCCGCTGAACGTCCGAAGACTTACTAACGGTCCTTCGACGACTGGCTGCAGGCCGTGTCAGCCTTGATCGGGTGAAACGCAAAGTCTGAGATGAGCTGCCCCTGCCTGGGTCGTGCAGACAGAAGGCGTCCTCAACTCAGCGCCATCATTCTAGCTATACGCGCTGCAAGCTGGCTAAAATTCCAAGCTCTGGCGCGGCAGAAACAGCGGGGAACAAAAGCAACAGAGTGCAAGTGCAGTGCGGCAGCGGCGCTTTTCCGATCGCTGAGCCCGTGCACACGCAGAAGGGCCGACCCGCAGAAAGACGCAGATGACGAGCAGCCATTCGCTCCTGCATTCGGTTAAAGGCTTATGCAGACACCTCGCGGAGCAGCAAATCGGCGGCGCACCGTCACCGGCACAAATTGCGGCTGGGAGGCAGAACCCAAATTCATCCAGAGCTGATCTGCCTCCCCGTGGTCTTCCTCGCCCTCCTCCCCATTGAGAAATGAGCACCCGCGAGCATGCACGAGGAGCTTCTACAAGCTGAGCATGTGACAGTGGTGCCAACATGCGCCAGCCATGGGGTAGCCGCCGCGGCGCGTCACCTCCCAGGGGGAGTGGACGACGAGCGCTGGAGTCCCTTCGGGGTGCTGCTCACCACTAGCGTGACGAACGTGTTCTGCACGATCAGCTGGTACTCCAACTCCTGCTGGCGGCGCGCACAGGGGGGCAGGGGAAGGGGGGAAGGCTTCTTACAGAAGCACCCTGCTCCTCGGGAGGCCCTGGCCCTACGTCTACAGAGAGGGCTGGCGTTAAGTCGGGCGTGTCCCCCTACAGGGGGATTTTCTACGAAAACATTATATATATATATATACATATATTAAAACAAAAAATCCAAAAATTGTATGGGGACTATTGTTTTAACATTTTTTACCTTCTTGGGGTATTTTTTATTTTTCGTCGAAAATCCCCCTGTAGGGGGACACGCCCGATAGAAGGCTGGCGCCCCCCACTGCGCGGGGGCCCTCCTCCGAGGGACCCCCCCCCTGGCCAAGGCGCCCCCCCCCCCCCCGCGCGTGGACGCTCCTGCTCGGGCTCGAGCTCGGCCGCGCACGACGCCCGCGCGCCGCCCGCGGCGGGCGGCTGCTGCCCGCAGCTCTCCTGGTGGGCTTGTTTTCCACCACCACCACCATAAGCAGGAGGGGGAGGGGGTCCTCCTCCTCTTCTTCTTCTTCCTCCTCCTCCTCCTCATCCTCCACCTCCTTCCCCCCTCCAACTTATGGTGGTGGGGGTGGAAAACAGGCCCATCATCTCTGGCCCGCGCTCCGACGGGGCGCCCTCCGAGGCGCTCGCCGCGGGCGGCGGCGGCCGGCGGCGGCGGCGGCGCGGCGGGCGCCCGCCCCGGGCGGCGGCGCCCTGGGCTGCCGCGGGAGGGCGTCGTGCTGCCGGTGCGCGAGGCCGCCCGGGGGCCGGCGCGCGAGGGCGCCGGGCTCCCCGCGGGGGCGCTCAGCTCGTGGCGGCCTCGGGCGAGCGCGCAGGTCGCGCGGGGCCCGTCCCTCTGCAGGGGGGGGGATGTTCAGAAGTAGTCCGAGGATCATCGGGGGACGCCGTGTTTGGGCTATGATTGCATGTGCTGGGGATACTGTCTGACCATGTTTTACTCGTCGCCCAAAGTCCCCCTGTAGGGGGACAGGCCCGACCTAACGCTCATGGGGGACGACCCGAAGGGGGGGTGAAGGAAAGGACCCGAAAGGGACCCTTCAGGGCCCCTCTTGGGCCCCGGCTAGCTCCCACAAGGGGCCCGAGAGGGCCCCTTTATCGGGCCATTCTCCTCACCCCCGATGTGGGCCTCCCTCCATTACCACCCGCCCCGATGGCCGTGGGCGAAGGTGCAGTCGTCCTTCCGGCATCTCCCCATCAGGTGGAAAGAGCACATGCGCGTCTTGTGCTTCTCGTTAGGGGAACAAAAAATGGCATAAACATAAAGACTCGGAGGTCCGCGCGGATTTCTCGGATCGGCGCTGGGGCCCCCCGCGGCGGCGCCTCCGGCGCCGCCCCTGGCGCGCTCCGCGCGCCAGGGAGGGGGATCCAGCGCCGATCCGAGAAATCCGCGCGGACCTCCGAGTTTTTATGTTTACTCCAGATTTCGTAATAAAGGGAGGGGGGTCTCAGTTCGGGGGGGGGTCTCTTCCAGGCTATCTTGGAGGGCCTGGGGGGGTCTGGGGACGATCTCTTGGAGGGTTCTCCCACGGGGGGGGGTCTGAAATGGCTCGTCTTGGAGGGTCCAGAACCCCTCCCTTTTCTTACGAAATCTGGAGTATGTCACTTTTTTTTGCACGCCCGAAATGGGTACTGAAAGAATGGGTACGATGCCCAACAGCAGTTCCTGTTCATTTTGAACAGGACTCGCTGTCCACGCCGCCGCGGCCGGTGTCCGTTCGAGACAGGAGGCCGCCTGCCCAACAGCGGCCGCTGTTGCTCTGGGACAACACTTGTTGTTGGGCATTGTACCCATTCTTTCGGTACCCATTTCGGGCCGGGCGAAAGGGGGGGATAGCAAAGGGGGGGTTTGAGAATCAGCTCACGTAGCTGATTTTCCCGGCGCCTCCTGGCGCCGGATGGAGCCATGTATCGAGGAATGGGCCCCTCGGTGAGGCCTAAACCAGCTGCATGCAGCAATTTCGTAACCCCCCCTTTCCCAATCCCCCCCTTTCGCCCGACCCGACCATTTCGGGTGTCCAAATTTTTGTTCCCCTGTTCTTGTGGCGCTTGCACTGCTCCGCGCGCTGCCCGCCCTCGGCGCACGCGGGCGGCCGGCGGCCGCGGCCGCCGTCGGAGCGCGGGCTGCCGGCGCTGCCCTCGGAGACCTGGCGGGCGAGGCCGCCGGCGGAGGACGCGGTGGTCTGGCGGCTCCAGTCGGCGTCTGCCTTGCTCTTGGCGAGGCTCAGCGCGAGGCCTGAAACGACGCGGAGATCGGGACAAAATCGGATCGGGGTAACTCGAAGTCTCTGAGAATCGGCGGGTTTGGAGGACGTCTTGGGCGCCGCGGCCGCTCCAGAGCGTTCCGGAACGCTCTGGAGAGCGCTCCGGAACGCTCTGGAGCGATTTATCCCGATCCTAGCTCTGTTTTAAGGCCGCCCCTGCCTCCGTCGAGGTCAGAGCCGAGGCCGGCCGCGCAGTCGCTGCCCGCGTCGGAGGCCGCCTGCCCGCCGCTGAGCGAGGCGGCAGTGCTGCAGCTGCTGAGGAAGTTCTCCGCCTGGAAATACTTCGGGCGTGTCCCCCTACAGGCGGATGTTGGGCGAAAAAGAAAGAAAGCGTCAAGACATACCCCCAAAATGCGCCAAAGTATTCAAAAACTCGTCCCCAGACTAGTTCTGCACTATTTGGGAATATTCCTCCTGTCGAGGGACAGGCCCGACTGAAGCCTGGAAGACTCTGCCTGATCTCTTCTTCGTGCTCGCGGCGACGTCTTGGTCCACGGCGGGCAGGTGCGGCTTGAACTTGCGGACCTCGCCGGCGTCGTGGGCAAAGGGGCAGCGCGGGTCCTCGCAGCACAGGCCCTCGGCCACCGTGGGGCACACTTTCGTGCGCTTGAGGTCTGGCTTCTCCCGCACGTCCTGCTCCTCGTGGGCGAAGTCGCACGCCGATCCGCGCTTGCATGCGCCCTTTTGGAAGAAGCGGCAGAGCTCCGTCTTGCGGCACAGCAGCCTGAGACGCCCGCTCGTTGCCAGCGCCATCTTGGAAGTAGCCTGATGCCTCGGTGGTGACGGCGACGAAACTGGGCTACAGGTGCAGCAGGAGCTTGAGCCCCAAGCTTAAGCAAAATGGCCACTGAGGGATCCCCGCGTAACTCTTTGAGAGGCCTAGGGGACGTGACTCGGACTCCGCATTGCCAACATGGCCTAAGATGGTCCCAAGGCCCGTCCTGTAGTCATCTTATAAGCCTCCTGGGCCTTCCGCAAGGCCCTGCGGAGCTGGCCAAGGAGACCCAAACGACAAAGAAGCTGCAAGTGGAGGTTGTGCATCTGCAATCAGCCACCGCGCTTGCAGCGGGTGGTGCGTATCAGGCCGTTGCCTTTCTGAAAATTCCAGACCATCCTGTGGTGCTGGGTCCTCGTTTTGAAGAGGCAGTCCCTGTGTTCCTCTCCTATTCCTCCTCCAACTCCTCCTCCTCCTCCTCCTCCTCCTCCTCCTCCTCCTCCTCCTCCTCATGCCCCTCCTCCTCCTCCTCCTCCTCCTCCTCCTCCTGCTCCTCCTCCTGCTGCTCCTCCTCCTCCTCCCTCTCCTCCTCCTCCTCCTCCTCCTCCTCCTCCTCCTCCTCCTCCCCCTCCTCCCTCCTCCCGTCCCCCCCCTCACTTTGGCACACCCCTCACACGTTTCGTGGCCCCATAGGGAACCCAGTACAGCGCTCCGTGGCCCCATAGGGGGCTCCACCAAAGGCCCCAGTGGCACCGCTGCGCCCACCACACCCAATACAGCGCTTCGTGGCCCCATAGGCGGCTCCAGCGAAGGTCCCAGTGGAACCGCACGCATGCGTCCGCCACACCCGGTACAGCGTTTCGTGGCCCCGTGGGGAGCTCCACCGAAGGTCCCAGAGGGACCGCCCGCATGCGTCCGCCACACCCAGTACAGCGCTTCGTGGTCTCATAGAGAGCTCCACCGAAGGCCCCAGTAGGGATGCCCGCATGCGTCCGCCACACCCAGTACAGCGCTTCGTGGCCCCATCGGGAGCTCCACAGAAGGCCCCAATAGGGGTGCCCGCATGCGTCCGCCACACCCAGTACAGCTCCATAGGGAGCTCTACCGAAGTCACAGTGGGGGTGCCCGCATGCGTCCGCCACACCCAGTACAGCGCTTCGTGGCCACATGGGGGGCTCCACCGAAGGCCCCAAGTGGACCGCCCGCATGCGCCCACGACACCCAGTACAGCGCTTCGTGGCTCCCATGGGGGGCTCCACCAACGGCCCCAAGTGGGCCGCCCGCATGCGCCCGCCACAACCAGTACAGGGTTTCGTGGCGCCCATGGGGAGCTCCACCGAAGGTCCCAGTGGGACCGCCCGCATGCGCCCGCCGCACCCAGTACAGCGCTTCGTGGCCCCATAGGGAGCTCCACCAAAGGCCCCAGTGGCACCGCTCTGCCCGCCACACCCAGTACAGCGCTTCGTGGCCCCATGGGGAGCTCCACAGAAGGTCCCAGTGGGACCGCCCGCATGCGCCCGCCACACCCAGTACAGCGCTTCGCGGCCCCATCGGGAGCTCCACCGAAGGCCCCAGTGGCACCGCTGCGCCCGCCACACCCAGTACAGCGCTTCGTGGCCCCATAGGGAGCTCCAGCGAAGGTCCCACTGGGACCGCCCGCATGCGTCCGCCACACCCAGTACAGCGTGTCGTGGCCCCATATGGAGGCTCCACCGAAGGCCCCAGTGGCACGGCCCGCATGCGTCTCCACAACCTACTACAGTGCGCCGTGGCCCCACAGGGAGCTCCACCGAAAGCCCTGGTGGCACCGCCGGCATGCGTCCCCCCACCCATTACGGCACGCCCCATCACGCGTTGCGTGGCCCGCCGGAAGCAGCACCCACAACGCGTTACTCACAACTGCATATGGTTGGGCCCTTCGCCAAGACAAGTTCGCTTCCCCTACGCATGGCGGTCAAGACGGGCTCAAGTGCTACCGAAGCCCTGAGTGGTTATCGCACTCAGACCGAGCAGACCCCCCCCCAAAAAAAAAACAGGAGAGCGTCGAGTGGCCACGCCTCCAGGCCGCGCACGGCGACGCGAGAGCGAAACCGAAACCGAAACCGAAATCGACAGGCCGCAAGCAAGCAACAGAAAAAGTCAGCGCTGCAGCAGGAGCAGGATCTGGGAAGACAGAGAGCCAGAACATGGAGCCAACGTCGCAGCGGGAACGCCATTCGGGAAACACCGAAAACCGCACCGACGCAACAGCGACACAAAGACCAACCGAGCCAAACCAACCGAACGCAACCGACTGCGACGCAGCCGAGCCGACCGAGCCGCGAACACCCTGGCGCCCCGTGCACCCTTCCTCCTCCCTTCCTGTTGGACGCCCGAAATGGGTACTGAAATGAGTACCCATTTCGTGCGTGCAGACTCCTGAGTGGTAAGTCAAAGGGGGGCCCGGCTCAAGGCGGGAGATGTCGAGCCGGAACCGGCGATGCGTCACCGACAGATCGGCACCAAGCCATCGATAGCGAAACGGCACGGCCCTGGGCGGGGTGGGCTGTTGGGCCCCCATAGGGGATCAATAGGCGATTAGGAGGTGGTGCATCCCCACTCGAGTCTACAATCGAAACTGATAGCAAGGATGCGCGACAAGGATGCGAGGCCTTGGGAGGCCATCACCGTACTTGTCGAGCGGGGCGCGGCCATCGAAAGCGGTCAAAGGGATGAACCGAAGAGGCAAGGATGCCAGTGTACCCTTACGAGGTCGCTCATCCTCACTATCAGCGTTGACTGTATTCCCCCCTAACGTCTGACCCCCGCCGCCCAGGCGCGCGCCCCCGCCCGCTCCAGCGCCGTGGCGAAACCGCGCGGCATCGCAATTGCCTGTTTGAGACGTCAAGGACAGCACCCCGGGCCCCCGAGATCGCCCCCAGGGCCCCACAAACCCCCACAGACGACATCAAGGGTGGGAAGCCGAAGTGACACTTCGAGCACGTCCTTCGAAGATGGCCCCCCACGAGACCACAAGCAGACGTCCAACCTCAGAGAGGCCTCCCTGGCGCTTCCCCAGAGACCCTAAGCAGCTTTCGCGAGGCATCCTGTCCCCGACGTGTCCACGGTGGTAGGACGGTCCGAAAGCCAGTCAACCGGTGCCAATGTAACAGCAATGACAGTTGCAACGCTCGAGTCGCGCTCATGCACGCAGCTGGGGTAAACGGTTGGAACCAGTTGCACGTGAGCCAACATCCCAAACGAAAACACGGTGTGAACACCACGATTCCACACGACCCCATAAGCCGAAAAGCTGGCCGCACCTGCCAGTTTGTGTCATTGTGTCTCACCAGACTGCATGCAGCCGAAAAGCGAGGCATCTGAACGGCAACTGTGCTGCTTCGCGGGCGAGGGCACCATCTCCAAGAAGAGCAGCCCCATCGCAAAGATGTCGGCTGAGTACGCGTCGCAGGCGGCACCTGTGGGGCAGTCTTTGCTGCGGGTGGGCAGGCATGACGAGCAGAGATGGCAAAGATCAGGGTGAACCATTGCAAAATTGACCAGACGACCACTGATGTCGTACATCGCACTCGGGCGTACTATGGCTTACTGTTCACGTTACTCCACGGCTGCCATTATGTAGCCGTCCTGCAGGTCGACAGGTATGGTACCGACACAACGGTGTATGTTTACGCAACAGCAACGTTAAACAATGTGGAATGAAACGCGCCTGACGCGAAACACGGAGTGTCGTCAGGATGTGCGTTGCAAGACTGCTCTGCAATATTGGCGAGTCATGCCAATTATATAGATGCTTCACAATGTCTTCGCGCCCAAGCGCAACATCAGACAGCATACGACTGACAGCAGTACAAAATAGAGGACTGATCAAACCAGATACAAAAGGAAACCGACTGCAGGAATACGGTGTGATTGCCTGCTCCGCCCTCCCCTCCTCCTTCCCTCCTCCTCCCTCCCCTCCTCCTTCCCTCCCCTCCTCCTCTCCCTCTCCTCCTTCTCCCTCCCCTCCTCCCCCTCCCTCCCTCCTCCTCCCTCCCCTCCTCTCCCTCCCCTCCTCCTCCTCCCCTCCCCTCCTCCGCCCCCTCCCTCGCCTCCTCCTCCCTCCCACTCCTCCCTCCCCTCCCCTCCCTCCTCTCCCATCCTCCTCCCGCTCCTCCTGCTCCCCTCCCTCCCCCTCCCTCCCTTCCTCCCCCCCTCCTCCCTCCTCCCTCCTCCATCCTCCCTCCTCCCTCCTCCCTCCCTCCCTCCTTCGCCCTCCTCCCTCCAACTTCTTCCCTCCCTCCTCCATCCTCCTCCTCCTCCCTCCTCCCTCCTCCCTCCTCCCCTCCCCGCGTCCTCCCTCGTCCGTCCGCGTTCTCCTCCTCCTCCTCCTCCCCTCCTCCTCCTCCTCCTCCTCCTCCTCCTCCTCCTCCTCCTCCCTCCTCCTCCTCTCCTCCTCCTCCTCCTCCTCTCCTCCTCCTCCTCCTCCTCCTCCTCGGCATCATCAGCATCAGCATCATCATCAGCATCAGCATCAGCATCAGCATCAGTATCAGCATTAGCATCATCATCATCATCATCATCATCATCAGCAGCAGCAGCATCATCATCAGCATCATCATCACCATCACCACCATCATGATCATCTTCATCTTCATCATCATCACCATCATCATCATCATCAGCATCATCATCAGCATCATCATCATCATCAGCATCATCATTATCATCATCATCATCAGCATCATCATCATCATCATCATCATCATCATCATCATCATCATCATCATCGTCATCATCATCATCATCAGCATCAGCATCATCAGCAGCATCATCAACATCATCATGATCATCACCATCATCATCATCATCATCATCAGCATCGTCGTCATCATCATCAGCATCATCATCATCATTATCATCAGCATCATCAGCATCAGCATCATCAGCATTATCAGCATCAGCATCATCATCATCAGCATCATCATCATCTTCATATTCAGCATCATCATCAGCATCATCATCATAATCATCAGCATCATCATCACCATCACCATCATCAGCATCACCACCACCACCATCATCAGCATCATCACCATCGTCATCATCAGCATCAGCATCGTCATCATCAGCATCATCACCATCATCATCATCATCAGCATCAACATCACCATCATCGCCATCATCATCATCATCGTCGTCATCATCATCATCGCCATCATCATCATCATCATCAGCAGCAACATCATCATCAATAGCACCAGCATCATCATCATCATTGGCATCAGCATCATCAGCAGCATCAACATCATCATCAGCAGCAACATCCTCATCATCCGTATCATCATCATCAGCAGCAGCATCATCATCGCCATCATCATCATCATCAGAATCATTTCATCATCATCCCCACCACCACCATCATCATCATCACCAGCATCATCACCATCATCAGCATCAGCATCAGCATCAGCATCAGCATCCTCATCATCAGCATCATCAGAACCATCATCCTCATCATCATAATCCTCACCATCCACATCATCATCATCCTCAGCATCAACATCATCATCATCATCATCATGATCACCATCATGATTATCACCATCATCAGCATCAGCATCAGCATCAGCATCATCATCATCATCATCATCATCATCACCCACCTTCCCCTCCTCATCCTCCTCCTCCTGTTCCTCCTCTCCCTCCCCGTCCTCCTCTTCCTCCTCCTCCTCCTCCTCCTCGTCCATCGCCTCCGCCTCCGCCTCCACCCCCGCCTCCGCGTCCGCCTCCGCCTACACCTCCGCCTCCTCCTCCTCCTCCTCCTCTTCCTCCTCCTCCTCCTCCTCCGCCTCATTTTCCTCCTCCTCCTTATCCTCCTCCGCCTCCTCCTCCTCCTCCGCCTCATCTTCCTTCCTCCTCCTTATCCTCCTCCCGCCCTCCTCCTCCTCCTTCGCCTCCTCCTCCTCCTCGTCTTCCCCTCCTCCTCCTCATCTCCTCCTCCTCATCCTCCTCCTCCACTCCTCCTCCTCCTCCTCCTCCTCTTCCTCCCCTCCTCCTCCCACCGCCGCCTCCACCTCCGCCTGCGCCTCCCCCTCCGCCTCGCCTCCTCCGCCTCGGCCTCCGCATCCTCCTTTTCTCCGTCCTCCTCCTCCTCCTCCTCCTCCTCCTCCTCCTCCTGATTCTCCTCCTGATCCTCCTCCTCCTCCTCCTCCTCCTCCTCCTCCTCCTCCTTCCTCCTCCTCCTCCTCCTCCTCCTCCGCCTCCTCCGCCTCCTCCTCCTCCTCCTCCTCCGTGTCCTTCTCCTCCTCCTCCTCCTCCTCCTCCACTTCGTCGTATTCGTCGTCTTCTTCGTTTTATTAGTAGTATTCTTAGTATTGGTATTATTATGATTATTATTACTACGACTATTATTGTTATTATTATTGCTATTACTATTATTCGTATTATTATTGTTGTTATTATTATTACTATGAGTATTATTATTATTCTTCGCATGTTGATTATTATTAGCATTAAGATGATTATTCTTAGTATTCCTCATCTTCTGCTTCTTCGTAATAATATTATTCGTCGTATTGTTATTATTATTACTATTATTATTATTGTGATCAATCGTTTTCGTCTTATTATGTTTATCATTATGCGTATTATTACTAATATTCGTATTCTTCGTATTCTTCTTAATATTATCATTAGTTCTATTATTCGCATTATTATTATCATTTGTCTTCTTATTATTCTTAGTATCATCAGTATTCGTCGTATTCGTTTTCTTATTCGTCTTCTTATTATTCTGAATATTCGTATTCTTCGTATTCGTATTCTCCATCTGCTTATTACCAGCATTCGTCTTATTACTATTACTGGTAGTAGTATTATTATTACCAATATTACTATTAACCGGAGGTGAGGGGGTGAGAACGAAGTGGAACGGAGAGCCCCCCTACCGGGAAATCGATTTCGGTTTCGTGTTCGTGCGTGCCGTGCGGGCGAGGCGAAGCTGCGTGGGCGGGCGAGAGGAAAGTCTCAGGTGGCTGAGGCGCGGCCGGACCAAATGATTCTCCGCCGGGCGGCCGGTGGCGCGCGGTGTCCCGCCGGTGTCCCGCTGGTGTCCCGTGTGGCTGATGCGCGGCCAGGCCAAATGACTCACTTCCGGGCGGACGGGTGCCCGCGGTGTCCCGCCGGTGTCCCGCGGTGTCCCGCGGTGTCCCGCGGTGCCCCGCGGTGTCCCGCGGTGTCCCGCGGTGTCCCGCGATGATGATGATGGTGATGATGATGATGATGATGATGATGATGATATGATGATGATGATGATGATGATGAGGATGATGATGATGATGATGATGATGATGATGGTGATGGTGATGCTGATGATGATGCTGATGATGATGATGACGATGATGATGGTGATGATGATGATGAGGACGATGATGATGATGATGATATGATGATGATGGTGTCCCGATGATGATGATGATGATGATGATGATGATGATGATGATGATTATGATGTCGATGATGATGATGACGATGATGATGATGATGCTGATGGTGTCCCGATGATGAGGATGAGGATGATCATGATGCTTATGTTGATGATCATGATGATGACGATGATGTTGTCCCGATGATGATGAGTATGATGATGTTGATGTTGATGATGCTAATTATGATGGTGTCCCGATGATGAAGATGTTGATGATCATGAGGTTGATGATGATTATGGCGTCCCGATGATGATGATTATTCTGATTGTGATGATGATGATGTTGTTGATGATGATGGCGTCCCGATGGTGATGATCATGATCATGATGATGATGATGATGATGTTGATGCTGATGTTGGTAATGATGATGATGGTGCCCCGGTGATGACGATGATGATGATGCTGATGATGATGTTGATGATGCTGATGATGATGATGTCGATGATCAGGATGAGATGATGATGATGATGGAGTCCCGATGATGATGATGATGATGATGATAACGATGGTGATCATGATGGTGTCCCGATAATGATGCTGCTGATGATGATGACGATGACTGTGTCCCGATGCTGCTGAAGATGATGATGTTGATGATGATGATGATGATGATGATTATTGTGATGATGGTGATGATGATGATGATGATGATGGTGGTGTCCCGATGATGTTGATGACCGTGATGATGATGATGTTGGCGTTGCTGATGAGGACGGTGTCCCGATTATGCTGATGTTGGTGATGATGATGCTGATGTTGATGTTGTTGTTGATGATGACGACGTTGATTGTGAGAGCTGTTGTGATATCGATAGTGAGATCGATAGTGAGACCGACTGTGATATCGATTGTGATGTCGACTGTGAGATCGATTGTGAGGTCGATAGTCAGATCAACTGTGAGATAGATCGAGTGAGATCGATTGTGAGATCGATCGATGGAGATCGATCGAGCGAGACCGATACTGAGATCGATAGTGAGACCGATCGAGTGAGACGTTGGTTCCTCCCCCCCCGGACCTCCTTATCACCCGAAGGGTGGTCGTATAGGTATTATTAGAATGATGATTCGTCTTCTTCTTCTTCTTCCTCCTCCTCCTCCTCCTCCTCCGCCTCCTCCTCCTCCTCCTCCTCCTCCGCCTCCTCCTCCTCCTCCTCCTCCTCCCCTTCCTCCTCCACCTCCTCCTCCTCCTCTCCCTCCTCCTCTCCCTCCTCATCCTCCTTCTCCTCCTCCCCTCCTCCTCCTCCTCCTCCTCCTCCTCCTCCTCCTCCTCCTCCTCCTCCTCCTCCTCCTCCTCCTCCTCCTGACCTCCCTCCTCCTCCTCCTCCTCCTCCTCCTCCTCCTCCTCCTCCTCCTCCTCCTCCTCTTCCACCTCCTCCTTTTCCTCCTCCTCCTCCTCTTGTGGTGGTGGCGGTGGACAGAACAAGCCCATCACACCAGGTTTCGCGCCCCGCGCCCCGCGGTCCGAGACTGAACTCGCGCCACTGTGCCGCCGCCTTGAAGGAAAGCCGCTCTTGCCCAGACCACGATACGGGGGCGCGCAAACATGAATTAGCGATCCACCATGGATCGGGGGAGGCGCCTTCCCCAAAATGCGGCCGGTGCCGCCTCTTCTCGGCGGCGGAAATCCGCGATTTCCCATGGGAACGGGACCCGTCGCTAATCCACGCCCCCTTGATCCGCGTTTGCGATCGCCTGGCTGCAGGGAAGCCGCTCCTGCCGAGGCCACGAGGCGCGAGGCGCGATCCTCCTTCGCGCCCCCGCGGGCGACCTGGTGTTTGGAGGCGGTTCCGAGCGCATCCGTCTCAGCCGTGGCAGCGAGAAGCCCTTAAGGAAGCCCCGATTGCGTCGGCGGTTAGACAAAGTAACTGCGATAGCGGAGAGCTACCTAAACGGGAATTCCGTTGTAGCGAACTGTGCCACTATGCAGGAGGTGGGACAGGGCAGAGGAAGCGGCCGAAACGAAAGGACAAAAACACGCACGCCAGGGGACTCCCTGTCCCTGCCTTCGGCTGGCCGTGACCAATGCTGGGCCACCTCAGAACCTCCCGCCAACTGCAAACTAGGATCGGAGGCGTCCAAAAAAGGGGTGAGTCCAAGAGAGCGTGGAAGGGGTTAAGTCAAAGGCCGTGCACCCGAGAGGACGCATAGGCAAATCGAGTTGTGCCGTTGGCGCGGTCGTCCTCCTCTGCGGCGGGCGGACCACACTTTATGCGACCCATCTGTATTGAATAATACGAGCTTCACAAACGAATTAGCAGCATAGGCCGGAAGTTTCTTGTACAAGCCGACCTGTCTACAAAGCAATTATTGCGATAAGGGTTTTGTCGCCGCCTTCTCCAAAACTGCATCGTTGCTCAAACGAGATATGTACGAATATGGAATACCAAGCAGTCGCCGCGCGCACTTGCAGTGAAAAGTCCAAACGAGCGCGGTTAGTTTTCAGGAACCACAGAGAATCCAGGGAGTAGAGGAGCTTGCTCAAAACGACGGCGTCGTAGAACTGGTATTTTCGCTTCCACCCGATCGCCACTCTGGACCATACGTTGTCTAGTTGCTTGGAAGTCACACATGCCTCCCCCAATCTTCTGGACAATTCTGTTGAAGCCCTCCCATCGCAAGACACACACACACCCAGGTATACCGCGTCCCGGACGGTCTTGATGTTGCCCCGATCCGATTTTGTGATCTTTCTGCACGTTGATACCTGCAAGTGCAACCAACGTTTTGCCCCAGTTCAATTCCAAACCATATCTCTGCCCTTTTTCTACGGTTGCACTCAACATGACTTGCAAAATTGTCTGGTGTCGAGATACAAGTAACGTGTCGACGGCGTACAGCACGTGGCCGTGTAACCACGTATTCTGGCTCTTGATGGAGATGTAACGTATCATGGCCGGCGGCACGTGCGCGGCCCAGGGGGGCCAGAAACGTCTCGAAATAGAAAAAGGCGCCATGAAGTCTGGGGAGACATCATGGACCCCGCCATGATTAGAGGCCTTCTAGTTGGGGTCGGAGTAATGAGGTGAGGTCGGAGGATCGCACCGCATCGCCGATACATCGACGATGTATCGGCGATGCACCAGCGATGCATCGTTCACGCCCGCGATGTATCGGCAACGTTGGCGTGGAGAAATGTAGGTCCCACATCGAGCCGCATCGGCGATGCACCGACGATGCACCGTCGATGCGGAACGATCCCCCGACCCCATTTCCTCCGATCCCATCTGGGATGCCTGGAAGATATCAAGGCCCCCGCCATGATATCCACGCCCCCCTGGCCCTCCCCTCTCCCAAGAGGAAGAAGAAGCGCCACGAACAGAAACTGTTGGCGCTCCGCGCGGAGCGCCCAAAGTTTGTGCCTATGGCGTTATTACTTGTTTCTTCGAGCCATGAGGGTTAGGTCGGGCCTGTCCCCCTACAGGGAGAGTTCCTACGAAAATGAACAAAAAATCCGCCGACCCCTTGGGGATCATCGGCGTGTGAGATGCTTCCCCCTCCCCAAACCCCTCCCCCGGGAGCCCGGTCCGGTCGATTTGGAGGGGGGGGGGGGGTCCGGGACGAGCGCTCCACGGGGCTTTTCCTGGCCCAAGAGGGCTTCAAGACGGGCCACGAAGCCCCCAAGAGGCCTCCAAGACGGCCCACGAAGGCTCCGAGAAGCCAAACGACCGCTCCAAGACGCCCACGATGGCCCCAAGACGGGCCAAGAGGTCTCCAAGACGGCCCCTGAGGTCCCAAATGAGCCTCCCAAGAGGGCCCAAAGAGTCAAAAATTGCTGATTTTCCAGAGTGTTTTTCGATGTTTTTTGCTTTTCCGCCTTTCCGGCTTCCCAACGCTCCAAGACGGGCAAAGAGGCCCCAAAGATAGCCCCAAGATGGCCCAAGAGGCCCCCAAGACGGCCTCCAGACGGCCCAAGACGGCCCCAAGACGGCCCAAGAGGTCCCCAAGACGGCCCAAGAGGGCTCCAAGACGGCACCACGAGGGGCCCAAGAGGGCGACCAAACATGTTGAAACTCTAGCTTTCTGCCCCCAGGAGCCCCAGGGGGCCCCAAGAGTGCCCCAAGAGGCCCCCAGAGGCCCTCACGAGGCCGCCCAGACGCCCCAAGGAACCCCCAAGAAGCACCCCAGAGGCTCCGAAACGGCCCCCGAGTGGCTCCAAAACTCGCAGTGTCGCTGTCCGCTCGGACCTCCCCGCGGAACTGCCCGAGACCCTCTGGCGGTGGCGGCGAACAGACACCAAACAAATATCACTCGCCTTTTCACCCCTTCGCAGCTTCTACTACCCCCAGATTGGCATAAACAAGGGGTCGGCGGTGTGGCGTAAGCCTAAGAATATTCCAAAATGGCACAAAAATACGGGAAAAAAATCCCCAGACTACTTTTGGACTATTTTCCTGCGATTTGGGGAGTATTTTTAATTTTTCATCGAAAATCTCCATGTAGGGGGACAGGCCCGACTTAATATTACTTGTTTCTTCGAGCCATGAGGTCCACGGCCCCCCCCTGGCCCAACCCCCTCCTGGCCGCCCCCTCGCAGGAGATCTCGCCCCCGCTCCCCAGAGTCCCCCCTTTCGTGCCCCTTTCGGGCCCCTCCGGAGCCCCAGGGGGCTCGTTAGGGTGCCTCTGGGTACCTTCTCGGACCACCCTCGCCACCCCCCCGTGCACGACCCCCCCATTACGCAGCGCCCAACCTTGCCATCGCTCGGACGTCCACTCCACGTGCAGTGGTCGACGTCGTGCGTGGCTGTTTTTTCCCTCGGTGATCAAGAACGCTCCTCCTCGATGGTCCTCGCCGAGGGAGAGAAAAAAACAAAAAGCAACAAAAAAAAAAAAACGTCCGAGCGATGCCAAGCAACTGGCCAATCCCCCCCCCCCCCCCGCGACCGGGGGCGCCGCCCAAGGGCCCCCCCCCTCCCCGCCTGGGTAGCAGCCCTCGGCGGGCGGCGCGGCCACGGCGCCGGGGAGCCCCAGCTTGACCTGCCGGGCGGGCGGGGCCCGGGTATCGTTAAGTCGGCCCTGTCCCCCTACAGGGAGATCTTCGGCGAAAAAAAAAAAAAAAGTATCCAAACATACCCCAAAAAGGTCAAAAACATATTCAAAAAATAGTCCCCAGACTAGTTGGGGACTATTTTTTCATTATTTTTGGTGTATGTTTTATTTGTCATCGGCAATCCCCCTGTAGGGAGACAGGCCCGACTTAAGGGTATCGCGGCCCCGGGGCAAGCAGACGCTCCCCGTCGCCGGACGTTCATTACCTGAGTTTTGTTCGGTTTCGTGCGTGGTTTCTTTTCGCAGGATGATCCAGGATGCTCCTTAAGAACCCCTGCCGAGAAAGAGTGCACACGTCCAAGCGGTACCAAGGACGCACCCATCGGTCGGGAGAGGTGGGCAGGAGACCGAAGCAGGCAGGCGGATGGGGCAAAGTGGGTTCGGGCCCGCCCAGAGAATAACAAAGGGCAGCCAAACCAGATCGAGGATGGAAGTGGGAAGGCGCCTGAAGTAGATCTGGGAATCCAGAACTACCTCCTCTCAACGACCGATGGGTACAGTCAACCCGTATCATAAAGATGCGCGGTAAGGATGCAAGGGCCTTGGAAGGCCATGCTGACGTTTTTCGAACGAGGTTGGCCAAAGAAACCGCCAAGGATGGGCCGAAGGGGCAAAGATGGCGGGGCACCCTGGGAAGTTTGCCAATCCTTTCTGTGCGGGTTGACTGTAGGGCGAAGCCAGGACGAAGACAGATCCTGAGATCCCGCGGCTCCAGAGGATGTATACAGTAGGGGCCCGACCACAAGAAACCTTCCACAAAAAAAACAGCCCTGGAACCCCAGGACGTCCATTGATTTCTGGTGCGGGAACGTCACGTACTCCATGGCAAAATCATCGAAACCCAAGAAACCTAAGGCACCCTGGAGGCAAGTGTGGCGCGCCTGGCATGGGTCCCCACTGTATCGGCGACCGCGGCCCTCTCAGAGCGTTCCCCTGAACGCTTGCGCGTTGTAAGGATGCAGGGGCCTTGGAGGGCCTTACCCACACTTCGCGAGCGGGCCGCGGCCAGCGAGAGCGGCCAAGGATGGGCCGAAGGGGAAGGATGCGGAATACCCTTGGAAACAATACAATACAAAACGCACTCCGCCTCCACATTTGGAGCATGCGCGGCCAATCCGATGCGGCCCCCCCCCCCATCCCTGTCAAAAAACTATACAACGTACACTTTGAGCCCGTCTTGGGGCCCTCTGGGGGCCCTCTCCGACCATGCAGGGATCCTCCGGTGGCCCCCTTTGGGTTCCTGTGTACTCTCTTGAGCCGTGTTGGGGCTCTCTTGTGCTGCTTGAAGCTCTCTTCAGGCCGTCTGGGGGCACTCTTGGGTGCCTCTTGAGCCGTCTGGGGCTCATTTTGGAAGCCTCTGGGGCCGTCGCGGCCGCTGGTTCGACTGAAAAGCAAGTATCACAGAAATACCTGTTTCCCCATAGGAAATGATTGATGTTTGCCCTTGGAGTTCCTTCTCGGCGGCCTCTTGGACCGTCTTGGGGGGCTCATTTTGGGCCCCTTGTGGTCCGTCTGGGAGCCCATTTCGGCTGTCCCAACCCCCACTTGGCATGTCATGCGTGGCTGAGCCTTCTTGGGGCCCTCATGGAGCCCTCTCCGACCATGTAGGGATCCTCCGGTGGCTCCCTCGGGCCCCCTGGGGACTCTCTCGGGCTGTTTTGGAGCTCTCTTGTGCTGCTCGACGCTCTTTTGAGGCTGCCTTGGAGCCCTCTTGGGGGCCTCGTGGACCGTATGGCGCCGATTTGGGGAGCCTTTGGGGCCGACGTGGCCGCCGATGGAACATAAGAAGCGAAAATCATATAAATATACACTTTTTTATAAGGGAATATTTGTTTTTCCACCCGGGGGCCTTCTCAGCGGCCTCCTGGACCGTCTTCAGGGAGACCTGGTAGGCCTTTTTGTTGGACCCTCTGGGAACCCAGTTCGGCCGTTCTGGGTCCCTCTTCGGTCGCCATGGGGACCTGGGCCCGTCTTGCGGCCCTCTGGGCGCCCTCTCCGACCATGTGGGGATCCTCCGGTGGCCCTCTCGGGGTTCCTGGGTACTCTCTTGGGCCGTGTTGGGGCTCTCTTGTGCTGCTTGAAGCTATCTTCAGGCCGTCTGGGGGCACTCTTGGGGGCCTCTTGGGCCGTCTGGAGCTCATTTTGGAAGCCTCTGGGGCCGTCGCGGCCGATGGTAGGACTGAAAAGCAAGTATCATAGAAATACCCGTTTTCCCATAGGAAATGCTAGATGTTTGCCATTGGAGGGCCTTCTCGGCGGCAAGTTGGACCGTCTTGAATGCCTTTGTGGCCGTCTAGAAGCAGTCTTGGGCTGTCTCCGAGCGCTCGTGGCCCGTCCAGAAGCCATCTCAGTGCGCTCTTCAGCCACCTTCCCAACAACCTGGGGCGCTTTGGGGGCCTCTTGGGCCAGCTTGGGAGCCTCTGGGGTGGTCCAGGACCCCTTCTGAACCCTCTTGTAGCCCCCCCGGTCCCCGCGGCCCCCCCGGCCCCCCATGCGAACCTGAGGCAGCAGTTCTGGGCCCTCCCCCGGCCTACTCCGCTAGATTTACATACATACATACATACATACATACATACATGCATGCATACATACATGCTGCATGCATGCATGCATGCATACATACATACATACATACATACATGCATACATACATGCATGCATGCATGCATGCATGCATGCATGCATACATACATACATACATACATATACTATATACATGATGCATGCATGCATGCATGCATGATGCATGCATACATACATACATACATATATACATACGTATGTACATACATACATACATACATTACCATACATACTACATACATGCATATGCATGCTGCATGCATGCATGCATGCATGCATCATACATACCACATACATGCATGCATACATACATACATACATACATACATACATATGCATATACATATATATACACACATATACATAAGTGTGGGGCCTGAGGGCATTGAGGCATTGGTAGAGAGAGGAATATCTGTGCGAACGTAGAAAGGTGTGGGTGTGGATGCATGGATGTGTGTGTATATTCACACACACACACTAGAACCACGCACGCGCGCTCCGCGCACGCTTAGGCTCTACTCTGGCACATGTTCAAAGGATGCTCATCCCAAACACATCATGGAAGCCCATACAACAGTACTTGACGAGTCGTTAAGAAGATCTCGGGACGTGTTCAAAGGCTGCCACAAGAGAGCTGAAGAGATGTTTGAGGAAACTACACCAATAAACCTTTGAAGAGTAAAAGGCCCTCTGGGGCTGTCTTGGGCTCTTGGGGCAGTTGTGAATGTCTCCCAGGGCGTCGTCAGGCCCTCTTGGGAGCCTTTTAGAGCCCCTTGGGGCTCTTCTTGGGTCTTCCATGCGATGTCCGGGCATATTTGCGTTATCTGGGGCTCTATTTTTCCCATACAACATAATCAACTGGGACGATAGTTGGAGCTTCCAGTAGAGCGCAGTCCTCGTCAAGGGCGTGCCGAGACGAGCCAGTCAGTGCCTTGGCACTTTTCAGCTGGGGTTGTGGTTAGAGCTTCTGGAGAGGAGCGATCTTCTCGAGGGATGCGAACCTCCCGATCCCCCTCCGCTTCCGACTCTTCCTCCTCATCCTCCTCCTCCTCATCCTCCTCCTCCCAGTCCAATACCGTGGCCAGGATTGGGTCCAGCGCTTAGCCGCATAGGCGGTTCTAGACGGGCGGGGAGCGGCGGTGACTCGCGGTAGGCGTCTTCGGCACGTGCATGATAGGAACACGCGCGCACGCACACGCACAGAGTCACACACAACCACACACTGCTTCCCCGCCGGCGGAATGACGTGACACCGCTGTCGCGAGCCGAATGATGTACAGCGAGCGTCCGCACGAATTGCACCAGGCGTTGTGGATGAAGCGGCCGAGAAAGAGTCGGTGGCGGAGAGGGGGGGGACTCCGACCAGCCAGTGTGCAGGACGGCCCCTGAGGGAAGTACACTGGTCCCGCGCTCCCGAGGCTACTACGACCCAATGAAGAAACATCGAATCTCGGAGCACTGTTTTTTTTCATCGGGCGTCCCGTATCAGAAGGATGCGCGATGAGGATGCAAGGGCCTGGAGCGCCCCTTTCGAAGCTTTTCGAGCGGGGCGCGGCCAGCGACAGTGGCCAGGGATGAACCAAGGAGGCGCCCCCCTGACCGAGGAGCAGAAGCAGGAGAGGGCTCCGAGAGCCATGAAGGAGGCTGCCACTGGCGCCTGCGGTGGAGCTCCTATGGGGCCACGATCCTCGCGAGGGGTGTGCCGGAATGGCCCGAGGCCGCCATGGGAACCCTGCCGCTGTGTTGCTCCGATCGTGCTCAAGGACCACATCCCAGAAGGAATGTCGAGCACGCAGAAACATGTCGAAACAGCGTCGAGCGAGTATCGCCTCCCAGGGCCCGACACGTCAAAGCCCTCCCGTTCTGGTACTTCCCTGGTGCTCGAAAATCTCTCCGGTGATCAGAATCATAAACGCGACACAGGACCAAGCTCGCAGTATCCTGCTGGGCAAGACCACACTTACGGGCGTGCGTATGACATTGGGGCTCCCACTCGAGCAAAGACCCCGGGCCAAACTCCGAGGTCTGAACAGTTGCACCACGCAGGCGGCAAACGCCTGCAGACTGTGGCGTGCACGCCTCGCGTGTAGCACGGAGGCATCTCATGCGAGCAATACGTCGGACCCAAACTCCGACCCCCCACTGGCTGCATTCCGAGGGGCAAAGGGCAGGCCTGGAGCGGCTCCGAGGGGAAGCGCCGACCTGAAACGGGCGGCACGTCGCCGATGGATCCGCGATAGGCCCCCGATGCCGAATCTGCACGCTCCTGTGTGGGGTGGGCTATCGTGCCGAGGAGGAGGAGGAGGAGGAGGAGGAGGAGGAGGAGGAGGAGGAGGAGGAGGAGGAGGGGAAGAGGAGGAGGAGGGAGGAGAGGAGGTTGAGGAGGGGGGGAAGAGGAGGAGAGGAGGAGGAGGAGGGAGGAAGGTGGAGGAGGGGAGGAGGAGGAGGAGGAGAGGAGGAGGAGGAGGAGGAGGAAGAGGAGGAGGAGCAGGAGGAGGAGGAGGAGGAGGGCCATGAATGTGAATGGGCGATCGCGGGATCCGACGCCTCCGCCCCTAAAGCCCATCCCCGCACGGTCGTTGCCCCTCGGCGCTCGGCTCCGGGCTCGGCTCTCCGGCGGCCGCGCTCCGGCCGAGGTGGGCCCTCCGGGCCGCTCTCGGCGAGGCGCAGCCGCTCAAGACTTGGGGGCCTGGGAATGGCCTTGGGGGGGAGGAGGAGGAGGAGGAGGAGGAGGGGGAGGGGGAGGAGGAGGGAGGAGGAGGAGGGAGGAGGAGGAGGATGAGGAGGAGGAGGAGGAGAGGAGGAGGGAGGGGAGGAGGAGGAGGAGGAAGGGGGGGAGGACGGGGGAGGAGGGGGAGGAGGAGGAGGAGGAGGAGGACGAGGAGGAAGGGGAAGAGGGGAGGGGGAGGGGGAGGAGGAGGAGGAGGAGGAGGAGGAGGAGGAGGAGGAGGAGGAGGAGGAGGAGGAGGAGGGAGCGCGTTCCACTGCTCGCAACGTAACTACTTCCAGGCTGCCTCCACGGGGGGGAGATGATCTTAGATTTCGGTGTTGGTGGTAATAGTTTGGTCACCTTGGAAGCCAGAATACTACCTCCATCACCGAAATCGGGATCTTCTTCCCTCGGTGGAGGAACACTGCCGACATTGGTGTTGGTGTCGACATCCTGAAGCTGGACAAGACCGCCGAGAACTCGTGAGAGCGCCCGAGAAAGCCTCCACGGGCCTCGATGCCGAGAGAGAGTCGTTCCCCCGGAGCCGATCCCCCCCGAGCGTTGCCCCCGATCAGCGCAGAGAGTGGCCAGGGCAGCAAGAGCCGTGGCGCGGACGCACCTCCCCGTCCTTGAAGAAGACGTTGCGGGGAGATACGTCGCGGTGCAGGCACCCCTGCGCGTGGTAGGCCTGATTCGGCGGCCGAGGAGGCAGGGTCCTGCTCGAATGACCAGAGATCGGCCCTCCTCCTCGTTGACCCCCTGAGACCAGAAATCCTCGCTCAACGCTCTAGCCCGCTCGCCGTACTGAAGAATCGGCACTCGACCCTGAGACTGCTCCTTCCTCCCCTGGTCCCCATCCCAGTCCCTATCCCCGTCGTCGGCAGGCCGCTATCCAGGCACCGCGGCACGAGCCAAAGCCTTCCATGCGATAGGCTGGGCAGCGGGCCAGGAGACGCGGTGTCTGATTACCTGTGGAAGTGCTCGGCCAGGCGGTGGGATTTGAGGAGCAATCGTGACAGAACGTCGCCGTCCGCGCCCCCTTCCTCCCCGGCCAACCTTCCCCCACCCCACCCCCTCCGCCGCCCCGACCACCATGCCTCCTCGCACGTCTTCGACGTTAGGCAAACTTGGATCGGCTGGGAACGTAGCGTCTGCATGCCAAGAAAAGCCGCATGGTGCAATGAGACCGACTTGAGCACAGTGGCCGCAAGAAAAGCGGCGAGCACATGCGGAGTGCAGAGAGGACCTAGAAGAAAGGGTGAAAGATGAGGTGCCCAGAGACAGGGATACAAAGAATGACATAGGTCCGCGCGGATGCTTCGAATCGGCGCCGCCATAGACCTCCAGCGCCGATCCAGCAAACCCGCGCGGACCTCCGATGACTTCTGCTCATGTCACTGCCAACTCCCGCAAAAGAAGGGCACGAAGCAACCGTGCGCGCAGAAACTAAAACGAGAAAAGCAATCGCATCGGCGCAGCCCGGCTCCAGGAGCGCAAGGAGGACCCACAACTAGAGGCCGCCTAGATGGGGTCGGAGTAGATGGGGGTCGGAGGATGGCGCCGCATCGCCGATAATCCGAAAGCCTTTTATAACGGATCCGAGGGGGCGATCGAAAGCAGTCCCCCGGCACTGCTTTGAACGCGTTCAAATCAGTCCCCCGGCACTGCTTTGAACGCCTTCACAAGAGGCCGATGATATGATGATGTTGATGATGATTTGTCCTGCGTACACTGTCCGCAACTGCGGCTATCAACACCATGCTCCACTTGCCCGCAACTGCGGCCATCACCAACGCTGCGCCTCCCAGGTCCACGGGCGGCGCTCGGCCGCTCGCCCGCTCGAGCCCCACTCGACTTCATGCTGGGGAGGCGAGCCCTCGGGGGCATTGTCCGCAACTGCGGCCACATCAGAGGGCCACCACTGCGCGCCATCAGCACCCCATCCGCTCGAGCGCCAGTCCCACCAGCGCGCCCCCCATGCGCCGCTGCCGCTCGCGCCCCAGGACCCAGCCGCCACTGCGGCATAAGAAGGGGTCGCATCGTCGCCGTTGGCAGCTTGCGGCGGTGGCGTGTTCTCTGCTCGCTCAGCCCCAGCGTCTCCCCCCGCAACTGCGGTTTCCATCTGGGGTCGGGCGCCCTTCCCCGCAACAGCGGTGTGTGCGTAGCTGCCCTTCTCGCCGCCCTTCCTGCCGTCTTCTTTGGCCCCCTTGCCCCTCTTCTGCGCGTGCCTTTCCAACCTCGCGGCGAGTCTTTCAGGTGACCTGCGACGCGCATTGCGCGCGAAAGCCACCAGGGGGAAGTGCGCTCCGCGCCTCGCCCTGCCGACGGCGCCATGCCATATCTTGTCGTCGATTTGCCCTGCTTCACTCTGAAGGGATGAGGCGCAAACTCCTCGCGCGCCCTGCGCGCCACCCTTTCCTCGAAACCCGCAACTGCGGCCAAAGATTCGCCAGATGGCGTCAGGAAGGCGCGCATCTTGTCTTCTACGGCCTCAGCCTTGGGAACGTAAGTCTGAAGCATCTTCCCGGGGCCATTCGTGTAGTCGAAGACACGGAACGACGGATCATGCTGGGTCGTCAAGAACCCGCCCTCGCGGTCGCGCAGAACACGCAGGCCACGGTGAAGCTTGCACTGCCCAGGACAGCTTCTGAACATAATCGCCATGCTGTCTGCCCTGGGCTGGCCGCCTGTTGTCTTCCAGGGGGCCCACGCGGCGACGCCCACAGTCAGGCCGCAACTGCGGCACCAGGACACAAGCTGGAACATGCACATGCTGAAGTCCCCCATGCAGACCTTCACGTTCCAATCCCTGACGTAGGCGACGAACCAGTTGTAGAACTCATGGAGCTTCGTGACGCCCCAGTCTTGGTTGGCCAAGCTGTGGTGGACGTGCACCGCCATGACGTTGAAAGAACCCCAGATGGGGCACGGCCTGGTCCAGGTGGACGCGCACCACAATCGCCCTGGAGTACTTGTTGTGCCACTTTGGCGCAGGAACATCCGCAACTGCGGACTTGTTCTTTTTCTTCTTCGCGTTGGACTTCTCCTGTTTGTGGAGGAGCCTCGCAAAGCCGACGCGTTCAATGTGGCCGCCACTGCGGTCCCTGATGCCAACAAGGAGGGTCCCTGATGGCCCGCCGCCCTTAATGCACAAGTAGTTGTAGTGAGTCCAATTGTCGAAACGCATCGTCCGCAACTGCGGCTGCACTGTCCCTCGCGTCGCGCTCCCCACTGAGTACCGCGCAGGTCTCGTCGTCGCACTCGCACAGGGCGATGATCTGGGCAGGGTTCGCGCGGAGCTGCGCCCACTCGTCCGCGCGTTGCACGGGTCTAGCTGCAGTCCCTCCGAAGTTGGCCACGTAGAAGCCGACCCGCCCCGCTTCGTACCCCGTTCTCTCCTCCCATGCGTCGACAAGCCCTTTGGTTTTCCGACAGATTGCTTGTCTGGATGACGGGCGCCCGGGCCCAGATTCTCCGCGACGACAACGCTCTCGGCATGTAGGAGTCCTGTGCTGCCGCAACTGCGGCTCCCGCACCTCCCCGCGGCTCAGCCTCGTCAGCGGAGACAGCCGAGGACGCGACGGTGCTGTCGCCATCTTGCGTCCGCTGGTCGTCGCCCTCATCCGCAACTGCGGCTTTCTCGTTACCGCCTCCCTCCTCCTTCTCTTTCTCGCCCTCGCCTCCCTTCTCCTTCTCAGCGCCGTGGATGAACACCGTTCTGGCGAATCGAATTCCACGGTCCGCACTCCCAGAGGATGCGCTCGGGCGCGCGGGCGGCCACATGCCTGGGTCTTCGCGTGCGCCACCTCGAGCCACGGCGGCCACGGAAATGGATCGTGAATGGGCATGGGCTCGGATGGAGGGAGGAGACAAATGGGGGTTCGAGGAGTGGCAGAAGGAGGGCGAGGACTCAAAGGAACTGAAAGAACAGCAAAGGGACTGGCGGAGAAACAGAAGGAGGGCGAGGATTGCAAGGGGCTGAGAAAAGATTAATTTCGCAGCTGCTGGAAGACCGCAACTGCGGCTTTGCCTCATATCCTGCCCGCGCGGGCGCCGCTCGGGAAAACAGCTTCACGCTGGACTTCCTGTGGGTCCGCAACTGCGGCCTGCATCACGCTAGGGCTGGTATTACCAGCGCCATTTGCCCTCCCAGGGTTCTCACTGTTTCCGAATGCACGAACTGCGACGGCGCCGAACGGTTCCCAGACGCCGCGTCGTTCGCGACTTTTTGCAGCCACCCAGCAAACGTCAACGGCCATTGCTCCTTGTGCTGCTTGCACATCTCCTCGCCCCAATGCGTCTTGAACCATGCCCACCCCCCCTCTGTTCGCCTGAGAGGGCGCCCTTTCCGCGAGCCAGGCGGCCCAGAGCTGCCATCCTGTTTTTCTTGATTTTGAACTCCTCGGGGTTCCACTGCGCTAGGGCGCGCTTGTTAGCCAAAGCCGTTTCCACCGCAACTGCGGCCTCCTTCTTTGCCCTCAAGGCGGCCTCGGCCTCTCGAATCTGTTCCTTGAGATCGTGCAGCGCCTTCGTCCTGTCGTTCGCTTCCAGCGCCAGGCGCCGCTTGTTCGCTAGCACTGCGGCTTCGTGGTCTCGCTGGGCAGTCAACGCTCGTAGGATCGTTGCCCTACCGCGCCAGCTCTCTCAACCGCTTCTTTTGTTTGTGTTGTTGCTGTCGGCAATCCTGCGCTAGTTGCTCCATGCCCACTTGGCGCAGCATATCTTCCGCCTCGCGGAGCGTTTCTGCCAAGGACGTCGCCACTGCCACCTGCTCGGCCGCCTCTGCGTCGACCACGCAGCCCATGGATACCGAGGGTCCTTGAGGCCCAGGTGCCGCAACTGCGGCATCGCACTGTTCCGCTACAGCCTCGGCCCACGAGGCCTCCTCTTGCTCTTCGTCCTCCTCGTGCTCCTCGCGCACCTCATCCTCCTCCTCCTCCCCGCCCTCGTCATCGCCCTCCTCATCGCCGAGCCTATTCAACGCGGAATCTGTGGCGGCGTGTTTCTCGTATTCCTGTATGAGACGCAGCACGTCATTGTAGGACCATTTCAAACGTTTCTGCCCGCATTCCTCCCTCACCTCCGCGACTGCGGCATCCACTTTTGCTCGCAGCCCCCCTGCTTCCCAGAGTTCCGCCGCCTCTCGGCAAATCTCGAGATCTCCTGACTTGTCGAAGGGCGCTCGACTTCCCACTTTCAGGAAACCTTTCGCGGCGTCCAAGTGCAACTGCACATTGTCCAACGCTGACACCATCAAGTCGGCGCCATCGGAACGCCGCAACTGCGGCACGCGCTTCCCCAACGCCATTTGCTGCACCAACGCTTTGGTCTCGAGGGCAATGTACCGCCGCTTCACGCGCTGGTTCAAGTCCGCGCCCACGGGCTGCGCAACTGCGGTCGCCCCCCCGCCGTGAATGATCAGCACGTAGCCGCGCTGCCAGGCGAGTCTCCGCACAACGTCTGCTTCGCGCGGGCTATGGTCGTCGGCCATGAGGATGCGCCACTTCCCCCGAAACTGCGGGTCGGCGGGCCAGGCCCGCAAGTGCCGCTGCAAGAATGATACAACGTCGTCTGCGCGGTAGGACCCCTTCTCGGACGTCGCCGTGCTCACCCAGGACGGATAGCCGCATCTGCGGGCATGTGCGGCCAAGCCCTCAGCGATGACAGGTCCCCCTTGAACATGAGCTC